TCTAATAATAGAAAGTTAGAAGTCAAGTTTGGTGTCTCAAGACTTCAACACAAATAATTGAACTAAAAAGCCCCTCAAACAAAAAATTCAAAAACTGGCCGAAAATAATGAAAACAAATTCGCATGGATACTTTGGTCATAAAAAAGGGATGGATACGTGATGAACCTCCAACTGCACTATACTACTACTTCGCGAAAGAACGGTTTTTCCTCCTGATTAAAAAACACGAAATCATTCTTTTCTCCACTACTTCGCCAAACCAACTGCACTACATCACCATTTCGAATGAAATCTTATGTTTCTTGCATCAGTTTTCCCAAACGATTGGTATTGAAATGCTCTCTCTCTCTCTCTCTCTCTCTCTCTCTCTCTCTCTCTCTATGCATGTTTTGATTTTATATTGGATGCATTAGGTTCAATTTAATGCAAAATCTTCTGGGATTAGGGGCGTGTAGAAAACTGAGGATATTTAATCTGTTTGTTAGTGGTAATTGAGATGACATTATGGTTGGTGTTGCAGGACGAATAAATGGCTGTGCAGCATGATCTGGATGAGATTGTCCCCTTCCTGAGTCAGTCCAGTAGGAAAGGGAATGCCTGGACTACATTTCGGGAGTTTTATCACCATTCCATTTCAACCAGAAATACAACCCCGCCAAAGGTATCTAACCTGCCTTCCTTATGAGTTGAAAATCCAATTCTGTTTTGTCCCTTTTGCAGCTTATGCCAGCGGAGGCTAAACCAAAGAGGCTGGATTTATTTGTCACTTAGCATGAGGGATCACAAGTACAATTTGATATCCAAAATATCTAAAACATTTTTTAATAGAAGGGGCAAAATGATGTAATATACTATGTATATCAGTATATGCATAGCGTTTCTCTTTTGTTTATCGGAAAGCAATATGTATTACTAATTGTAAATGTATATGATCAAATATGTTTGATGATGCTGTCATTCGTTGGTTTCCCTATATCTATTGGTGGTGTTTGGTTACTCATTGTGCAGGACATTAAAAGTGATGCATCTTCGGTGTTAAGACATCTATGGTGTTAAGACTTTTGAATTTTTGGATTCCATTCTTTGTTTACATTACTTTGGAGAAGATCAGGTATGGGATGTGCAATTTTCAAAGTATGCTCTATTTCCACTAAAGTATATTGGTGTGTTTTCACTGCAGTTTCAATAACAAAAGAACCCATGGAGCGTTGTTCAACCCATTTGTTGGGGCATGTTGGCAGTGAAGACAATCAAAGCCAAATTTATATTGGTAGGCGGTGGGTTAGTTAAGAGTGTATGGAAAAGAGAAGTAAAATTGGACTACCATAGTACCACATATTCATGTACTCCATAGGTAATTCCTGAACTAAAACATCTGAGTTATTACATATTGGTTGCATACCTTACGATGCATTATATATTGGATTAAAGTTGTAGACTTCATATCGTTTAGTGGTATTTGTTTGTAAACCCTGCTTGGAAGAAATCCCTTCATTTGAACTGACTGCACTTTTTTTTCCTATAATTTTTTTTTTCTTGGTACCAGACTTTTGATGAAACTTACAATTTATGAATTGATTCTAGAATGCTAATTATGCTATTTTCTTAATTTCTACAATTATAGACTTTGGTAATCTCATTGCATTTACGTGTTGAAATTTCCAAAAAAATAAAAATAAAACAAACCGATGATGAATTATATGAGGCTACCGAAGACAAGAATTGTATGTGAGATCCCATATTGACCAACGTAGAGGGGGTGATGTGCCTTATATATACATGCTTCCCCCCTGGGAAGTTCTCGTGAGTTCCCAGAAACAAAACCGTGAGGGCGTGGCCAGGGCCCAAAACGAACAATATCGTACTACGATAGAGCCGGTCTGGGATGTGACAATTTGGTATCAGAGCCACTGTGCCGTTCGGTACGGATGTGCCAACGAGGACGCTGGGTTCCCCTTAAGTGGGGTGGATTGTGAGATCCCACATCGATCGACGGAGAGGGGGTGATGTGCCTCATATGTACATGCTCCCCTCCCTATAGCACGAGGTCTTTTGGGAACTCATTGGCTTCAGATTCCATCAGAACTCCGAAGTTAAGTGAGTTCGGGAGAGAGCAATCCTAGGATAGGTGACCCACTAGGAAGTTGCTCGTGAGTTCCCAAAAACAAAACCGCGAGGAAATGGTAAGTCCAAAGTGGACAATATTATGCTATGGCGGAGCCGAGACTAGGATGTGACACTGTAGTTTTGAAGGAGCAGTATAAAACAAATGGTTAGGTTTTATTTGTTTTTAAGGTGTGCTATCCATTTTAATCAATTTAAAACGTTTTTTCTTTGATTTAGGGGCTATCGCGATACTTTTAGGGTATTAGTGTTAGGTTTCGTTTAATGATTCCATTACTTAGTTGTTTTAAATTTCAACTTTAGTTGTATTGCTGAAAGTTTGATTACTAAATTACTTTGCATAAATAGAGTTCACAAGAGCTAAGAGGATACTAAGAAGCAAAGACTTACAACATACATAGTGACCATGTTTTGTTGCATGTTTAACCATTCTTTTGTGTTAATAATTTGTGTAGATGCATATACATGTTGGTAGAGATTGTCTACAATTATTGTGTTTGTATATGTACGTACAACTATTTTCAAACATTCTCACAATGCAATAGGATCGTTTCATACTTTGGGTAATAAAAGTTGATCCCTTAATTAAAAAATGAGACGCTTGCCAAACATGTGGTTTTTTTTTTCTTTTTTTCTTTGAGGGAAGCCAAACATGTTGCTTGGACATACATAAAAGATCATTAGGACGCGTAACGTGCATGCAAAGAGGTTAGTACACTCGAATGCTAACGAGCTCATTTATATACACACGAATGCTAACGAAGTTCTATTTAAATTAGTCCCTTCAATCACAAATCTTATCTGCCAAGTGGTTAGCGTTAGCGTTCTATTTAAATTAGTCCCCTTAATTATAAATCTTATCTGCCTTGGTAAATAAAATATGTTTTTTCTCCCGTCAAATTTTACAATTATCTTTTTGTTCATTTATCAGATATTTTACATGGGCTAAAATTTAGAGACGCTTTGATATAGCATCTCAACTTTGAATTTCTTAGACTAAACAGACACTGTCACATCTCATTCCGCATAGTAAGATATTGTCCACTTTGGACCATGCCCTCATGGTTTTATTCTTGGGTTTCCATCCAAAACGCGTCTTACTATATAGAAGTGGGTATGTACATATAAAATACATTTTTTCTAAAATTTGATTTGATTAAACATTTTTCACAGACATCCTTTTGAAAATTTGATTAAACATTTTTTCTAAAATTTTGGTGATCAATTTTAGTTTTTTAACAATTTCACAACTTTGGGCGGCAAATTTTGATGTCACAAGTTTTTCACAATTTCACAAGTTTGGGCGGCAAGTTTTTCACAATTTCAGTTTTTTAGAAATTGGATAAATTACATTTTACCACCTTAGATTTGAAATCTATTGTAACTTCATACAACTTCTTTAAAACATTTCATTTTCATACCTCAAGTACTATTTTATTTCAATATAATACATCTGTTACATTTTTCATCCATTGATCCGTTAAAAGCTGACCTGAATGCCACATTTGTGCCACATGGTTGCTAAATTTATGCCACGTGACAAAAAAATAATTTTTAAATTTAATTAAAAAAAAACACCCATTTTCTTCCATTGCTTCTACCATGGGAATCCCACAATCCACCCCCCTTCAAACTATCCTCCGTCCACCCCACCAAATATCCCTGAAACTCCCATCTTCCTCTCAATCCAGTTCAACGAACTGGCAAGACTGTAAAGAGAAATACAACCCTGCAAACTCACAAAATTGCAGAGAGCAACCTACCCGACCCCGACTCTCCCACTCCGCCAGCAGACACCCTTCCCAAAACCATAACCAAGCTTTATAATTTGAGTTGGGGCTCCCTGAATTTGTGCAATGCCAGCCCACATCTTCTTTTCCATTTTTCTTCTCCAGTAACTCCACAATGCCTGCAAGCTTCCCGACGTTGATTTAAAAAACCTCCGCACCAGAATAAAACCCAGATCTCAAAACCAATAAAATGACCCAATAATTGCGGACGAGGAAGGGAAAACCCTCAACCAATTCGAGCTTTGCACATGATCTTGGGTCTTCGAGCGGCTTGTCCGAACAAACAATTTGAGCTCAACGACAGTAGGAAAGCCGGACGGCAACCAGACGAGGCTTTTTAATCTCTCTCGCTCCATCCCTGCTCCATCTGATTAGACGACGAAGCCGACACCAGTTCATCGTGCTCTTCGATTCTCAAAATCCACGGCTCGACTCCAATTTTGGCCTCACCGTCGTGCACTGCGTTTCGTCGATCCCCCATACCCATACGTTGGAGTGGAACGAGCCGGTGTCGTGCTCAAAGGTCGGCGATGGCCACAAACCACCGTGGACGAAGACTCCAAGCCCTCAATTCCTGTCAGTTGATACTTCTTCTCCACTAGATTTAGGCCTAATTTGATTCGTTGAAAAAAAGTTGCTTCTGTGTGAGAATAAGCAGCTGTTAAATAAAACAGCAGAATAAATTTTTTTGTAAAAATACTTTTGGAAAAAAAAAAAAAACAGTATGATAGTGTTTAATCAACTTTTATGTAAAACAACTGTGACTGTTTGGTAAACTCTCATGATATCCTTCAACTTAATAATTTTAGTATTTTTTATCATCATCATCACTACTATGTTCTTTTCACAAAAATACGTTCAGAATAAAAGCACACAAAAACAAAGTCTCCAGAGGTTGTCAAATGATGTTTCTTTTGGGTACAGTGGACAGAAACAACACCAACAACACAACACAACTCGAACAGAAACAAGACGAGGTCTGGCCAAACCAACCCTGTCATCGCCAAGCAACTCCTGATACACAGTTGCACAAGAAAGCATTTATCATATTGTTACATGAGTACCAGGGCAAAGCATTTATCATATATTCAAAGCCCAATAACATTTCTCTTCATTATATGAAATAATACATCATGTTATTTGTTCTAACCTCAAATTAAACTCTAAAACAAAACAGTAAAGCCAAAATTGGATGTTGCAAATCAAAGGTAAATTTCAACCTAAACTTCAAACGGATCTCCTTCATACCACAAACAAATCTTGATCATATCAGCATTAGCGCTGTGCAAAGCCACGACTGCGTCTCCAAGCTTGCAGAGTCCCTTTGCCTTTGCAAATTCAACTGCAAACTGTATGCTCTCTTCTGTGGACTCGGCATGAGAAGCTCTAACGGGAGCTGAGGGGAGAAGCGGCAGAACGCCACAGTAAACAAGGTCATGCCTTGCCGGAGCTGCATTGCTGCATGAGGTCTCAAAATAAGCTGTTGTTATCTCAGGAACCACCACGGACAAAATTGGCATGCTTGGCCTGTACTAGCCACAAGCTTCGCTGTGCTTCCTCCTTTCTTCAGCACTAAACTCATCGCTGCCTTGATGCAATTAGCCACAAGCTTCGCTGTGCGAGAAGTTGAAGCAAGCCACATTCATCCCAGCGAATGTTATAAAGCAGAACCCTGATGAAACAGTCCAGACCTACATAAGAAAAAGAGTAAACATTCTGGATATGATTCCACAATCGCATTTTGTATAAAATATTAATAATTTGCACATTGGCAAGTTGAATGTAATTATAAAAGCGCAAATAGAAATGGGTGTCGTCATGCAACAATACATCATAAACCCACCAAACTATCATGCATTATTAAACTCACTAGACAATTCTATAGTACATAAATCACCAATGATCATCTGACCTAGTGGCACCCAATCTCCACTTTCTTGGACAAGCAAAGTTGCATGGAACTACACAAGCAAAGTCCTCTAAGTAAAAAGCTTCCCATTCTAAAAACTATTATACCTTGACTTAGTTATCATCTGCTCCAGTGGCTAATAGTTGCGCATCTGGTGAATAAGCAAGACAATTCACATCGAAGTAATGCCCCTGCTGCTTCAATATATAACTCTCTGACTTCCACTCCCGCACAAGCAACTGTCCAAGTTTCGCACACCCAAACGTCAGCCAATTTCCAAGTTCATTAAAAACTGCGGTTGTAATTTTCTTTCTTGATATCGACAACAAGTGCAAGCACACAAAATCAGGCATTTGATACAACCCAAAAATGTTATAGCATACAAGTATACAACTAATGTGTGCATTTTCTATGTGCCTAAATATATGTTCTTTGTCATCTGTGAAGCTTGAAAACTTTGTTGCATACAATTGGCTTTCCGTGGAGTATAGCAGGACTTGTAGTATCTAAAACTAGACATTTGGTACTATCCAGAAAAACTGTACAGAAAATTTATGTGATTCCGCAACACAAAAGAGCAACTTGGCATATTATCTCAAACCCTTAAATCATTAAGTTGTCCAAAAAATTGTACAAAATATATGCCTCTGGTAAAAATTTAGGTGGCATTTTCTCAATTTCTACAAAACAAGATTCAGAAAATTAACTCAAAGGTTGAAGACAACTTTACAAAGTTTTGGTAAAACCTCCTGCAGCATTAATCTAATAATGCATCAAGATAAATGCCTAAAGGAGCAATAAAATTCTCTAATATAACTTTTGACTTAGAAATCCACCAAAGATCTTTGTCAGACCCTACTAAATAGTGTGCTTAGTTCTTGTATGATTCCAGGGAAGTAAGTGTAACATTGTATATGTGGATGTTGACACTGCCAAAGGCCCTGTTAAATTATAGGGCAGGAACATAGAGGAAAGCAGAGCGTGGCACCAACCTAAGCAACCATTGGGAGACACCACTACCACTAATGTACACAAGAGTGCAGTTTTTCAAAATACATCTTACTCTCTTCAACCCAAGAAGAATAGGAGGGAAAAAAGGCATCCCAAGTAGACAATAATAATGCATTCACACTAGACTATTCAATCTGCATTTCATTCATATACCCGGACTGCACTTGTTTGAACTGTAAACGCCAAGAAACCACTGACATGGTTAAATATTTTGAGAAAATTACATCATTTTGTACCACTGACATTGCACATTTTTTTTAACAATTAAATTTCAATGTTTTCTCAGTTTTCCAATTGCTGGAGTTAATCCCAAAGAAAGCTGTGAATAAGCTTCTTCAGAACATGTTAATTAGCCCTAAAACTTACGCAATTTAATTTTAATGTCTCCCCAGCCAAGCACAACAAAAACACAAATAAATCTTTAATCCAAAACAAGATTCAGGGAACATGAATAGAGAAGTAATCAATTTTTCTTCTCTCTCACATTTTCTTGCTTCCTTCACAAACCCTAATTTTTTCCCCAATTTTTCCCCTATTGTTTTCTCCATCCCTAGTTTTCCCGACACCCATACACTCATCCCTTCGCTCTTCCCACCCCTCTTTCACTCTCCCCATCCCCAAATTAAAAAATCCAAACAAATAAATAACAAAATTTTAGAGAAGAGAAGCTTACCAGAGGAAGGAGGGAAGGCGACGGCGAAAGAAGGAGGGAAGGCGACGGCTGGCGCTGAGACCGACGGAGAGAGAGCAAAAGGAGGAGGAGGAGGAGGAGAAGAGGTGCAGCTGGAGGCAACAGAGGAGAAGAGGGCTGCGATTTCAGGATGGCGTGCGAGAGAGAAGGCAGAGAGAAACGAGGGCAACATTGGCAATTGGAAATTTTCATTAAAATAATTACTGTAGCTCCGTGTTTTGACAAGAAGCTGTTTTCTTGAAGTTGCTTTTTGCAGCTTCCTATTTTTAGCTTTTTTTCATCTGAAATTTTGAAAAAAAGTTGGTTTGGGTGTTTACCCTACTGCGAAAACTTTCCCAGCTTTTTTTCATGGCAGCTTTTCTTAAAAATCACCTTAACCCCAAACTGGGGCTTAGAGGGGTGCAGTCAATTTGGATTTCACATGATTTTAAAAGACTTTTTACAAGTGACAGATTTCAAAGGATTCTAATAGATTCTATGATTTTATATGGATTTTGACAGGTTTACATAGATTTGTATTATAGATTTCCATGGATTTTTATGGATTTCTTAGGATTTCAAAATATTTTAACCTATACAACCTCTTGCCAAATGTTGCTGTAGAGAAGAAAATGGCCAAGTTTTGCTGTCGTGAAAATTGTTCTAATTCATGGTCCAAGTTTTGCTTACAATTTGGTAAGAACCATCAGCTCAAATATAATCGTTTGAATGCGACAAGGAAGAAAAGTACTCATGGCAGGAATGCATTCTTGGTCTTGTCTTGTTTGGGTAAAGAATCAAATAAAGAGCGAATGGCGGAGGAAATGGAAATAAAATCCAGAAACATAAACAACTTCCGTTAAAGCAAAGAAATACTCTGATGAAAAAAAATGGAAGAGTGAGATTCTGCCATCTTCTATCTAACTCTTGAGAAATTGTTTTTGTTTGAGACCGTTCTTTTCACATTCACTCTTGATGCAGATTTCTGATGAATGTGAAAAGAAATCAGTTGTTGCCATCTTCAAAACTGTTCTTCTGTTTGAGACTGTTCCTCTTCTATCTATGAATGTGAGAAGAAATCAGAGGGGGTAGAGCGGGTGGAGTGAGATTCTTGATGCAATTTGGTGTTTATACCACCCATCTTGAAATCCATCAAAATCCCTCTACCATTAAAATGCTAACAAATCTTGAGTATTTTGACTACACCTAGACTTGTATTTTTTTAAAATCATATTTGACTATTCATGGATTTTGTTATATTCTTTAAAATCCTACCAAATATTAATTTAACTACGTTATGATTTAAAAATCCTTTAAAATCATCTTATAAAATCCTGATTAACTACCTTTAGATTTTAAAGTCTATTAAAATCTTACCAAATCCTAATTTGGCTGTTGGGAGAAAGATCTCCACCAAATCTTCTTCTTCTTTTTTATTTTTTTATTTTATTTCTTTTTTTCCATATTAACATTTAAAATAATTATTTTTATTTTCTTATGTGGCATATTATTGACTGCCACATCATCAAAAGAGTGGAACCCACTTGCCACAACATCACTTAACAGTCAAAATTAACGGTTTGACTAATGAATGTATGAAATTGAACAAAAATATAAGTTTGTATGAAATTGAAATCTTTTAAAGATGTTGCATCAAATTGTAATAACATCAAAACTTGATGTCGGCTCCGACCGACAAAAATAGGCAATTAGTCATAATTGTAATTTTTTTACATATGGTGTCGTCTATAACCGACACTATTACAAATCTTGGCGTTTTGAACCGCCAAAAATGTTTTAACCTATATAAAACCCCTTCTCTCTTCCTTGTGTCGTTGCCGTCTCCCTTCCCCAATGTTTTCTCCTTCCCACTTCAATCACCATGGATGAACAATTCAAGGAGTAACATTCCAAAACCAGTGCGTTTTAGATTTTTTTATTACACTTGGCTTTTGTTTTGAATTTTGATTATGCTATTAAATTGAGTTTATATTTTGAATCTTGACTTGTACACCTTCTTCCTTGTCTCTCTGCTCTCTCGCTGCAATTTGTAGTTTCTTGCCTGAGGTCATCATTGGCAGCCGTCAGAACTTGAGCTTCTTCGAACGACTGTGAGCACGTGAGCTTCTTCGGAATTTGACAGCGAGAAATCAGAGCCGTTGATCTTCTCCGACTTCTGTCACCTCCGGCTAATGCACATTGCGTATGTATGACACCAGTATAATTGCATACATAATCCAGTTTATAAACCATCATTTTCATCCTTTACTCTTTTGAAGATTTATTTTCAAATCTGGAATTAGAACCTGATATATGTATGCATCCATAGTTTCTAGAGCTGTATTTCTCCGGCTAGAGGATTTGATCTCTTCTCTTATTCCTTTATCTGCTTGATTGTTATAATCATGCCACATCCAGCGAATTGGGTGAAAAAAAAAAAAAAAAAAAAGGTTGGCTGCATCAAGGATGGGAATTGCCGGTTAGAACACAAAATGGTTGGACATACAAATTACAGATTTGTTGTTGTTTTTTATAACAAAGGAATTTTATTTTATTAATGGTTAGTGGTGTCAGTTATCGACGATAGTATAATTGTTTGCTCTATTCAACAATCTTTCTCAGTATTTAATGTCGCTTGTATCCGATGGGAGTTTCAATGTCACTAGTATCCAACGCTAAAGTACTTTTGTCTGACACAACTATCCTTTTTGAATTTTAAAATGCTTTGCGTTTTCTAGGCAAATTAAGGGAACTAACCGACAACAAAAGTCTTTTCATGACGCAAGTAATGTTGTTGGTTCTTGTATCTGCCACTGCAAACATTTCTTGTTGGTTTTTATCTATTATCCAACAAAAATGAGGTTTTCTTGTCGGTTTTCAGACCACCACTTACAGGTAGTTTTGTAGTAGTGTATTCCTAGGATACTTATGGTCCTTCAATGCGGATTAAACAGGCAGTTCCATAAGCTTGCATTCAATAGTATAGTCCCCCAATGCAAATTAACCAAGCATGACCATCTATGGAAACCACGTAATCAAGTAGATAGTGACTTATCAATGCAGATTAACCAGGTAGAGTTATCCATAGAATTCATATGGTTTTCTAATGCGGGTAAACACGCAAGATCATCCATATACCACACTACTATATGGTGCAGTCACACAATCACACATCACACATATATACCTCATACAAACCACTTCTTACATCAATCCAAATGAATCGCAAGTGTAAGTGCACACACACTATTGGTTCAATGTAACAATAGATATCTAGTCACACAAACATACAAGTTCTACTGAATAATTCTAACATGATTCCCAACCCATCTCCTCCTACTGGCATTCGTACATGTCATTAACTCATCAGAAACTTGCCATCCATGGTCTTGATCAGAGAAAGTCCACGATCCTTTGGAAATGTGGCGGTGCATGCTTTTGAAGTCACCCGATGGATTGTCCTTCACCTCTACAATTCGATTCCAAAACAGTCACTAGTTAGAACAAATTAATCGATGCACATATACATTTTACAAAAATGAAAGTTCAATTGACTATATAAAAAACGAACCTGAGATTTCTTGACGAAGTCATGTCCTCTAGCGAGTGTGGGTGCAATTTTATAAAAATATGCAATTTGAGAAGGGGTCCACTCACAAATATTCTGCTACTAGGGAACCGCTCGAACTAGGGAGGACGGGATCACTTTCAACCGACGCACCTATACACAAATAGAGACTATTTAATAAAACTCTACCAAAACGATTGAATTTGGAAAAACAGACAGCAGATTCGGATTCGGCACGTTGAAAAACCTAAGGTGGCACCTCAGGTTCCCCCACGCTCCGCCAAGGGGCGGCGGCCCTAGTGGCCACGAGCCACCACGCTCACCTAGATGGGTCACCGAAAAAGTCACCGGGGCCGCCTTGTAAGAGTCAAATTTAAGTGAATAAGAATATTATTAAATCGTAGTATTAAGTGGCAAGAAGAAAATCAATTAAAATAGAGATATTATTCGTACTTCAAAAATATCATTCGCACTCCTTCATAAAACCAAGGAAGAAAATAGGGGGTTTTGAACTTTAATCATTGAAGAAGATTAGAATTCAATAAAAACTTGGTGTTAAATTGGATATTGATTTTAGTCCTCTAATGTGTACTTAATCCAAATTCATATTATATTTTTGTTTTAATATTTAATTATAATTATACACATTTAATTCATTAATTTTATTTTACTTCCTCTAATTAGTGTACCTAAACGTCCGTAAAACAATATATTTTACTAAATTAGTGTACCGAAATGTTCGTACCTAAATATATTGTAGTATTGAATTAGTGGCACATAAGAAAATATACAAAAATATAAGCGTACCAAAAAATTCCGTACCTAAATATATGATACCAAACTAGTATACCGAAATGTTGATACCTAAATATATTATACTACCGAAATGTCTGTACCTAAACATATTACACTCACCTAGCGTACCGAAATGTTCATACCAAAATACAATGTAATGAATTAGTGGCACATAAGAAAATATGCAAAAATATAAGTGTACCGAAAAATCTCTACGAAAATATTTCCTTATATAAGTTACTTACCATAATGAGAATTAAAATTTATAATATTTTCATAAAATTAATTTGAACACCATAAAATTATAAATAAAAAGGTGAGCCATTGAATACACATGTTGGCATTAAATAGAGTCTAGGGATTAAAATCAAATTTTAATCTTGTATAAGACATTTTTCTAAATTTCATCTTATTTATGGATTAAAATCTAGTTTTTCAAAGAAAATATACTTGGGTAAGTGCCAGATAACATACATAGAATGCTAATATTTTTATACAAAAAAAATATTAAGGTGGAAAAATTAAACTAATCAAAATTTCGAATGCCATGATGGATACTATTAATCAACTGAGTAACAAATGAGCAAGGAGGAGGATTCTCTCTGTCACATCCCGGCCCGGGTTGGACTACTTCCCGGGCCCGCTCCACTACCGTAGCACGATATTGTCCGCTTTGGGCTTACCATTCCCTTACGGTTTTGTTTTTGGGAACTCACGAGCAACTTCCCAGAGGGTCACCCATCATGGGATTGCTCTAGCCCCTTCTCGCTTAACTTCGGAGTTCCTACGGAACCCGAAGCCAGTGAGCTCCCAAAAGGCCTCGTGCTAGGTAGAGATGGAATATACATTTAAGGATCAGTCCCCTGGGCGATGTGGGATGTCACACTCTCCCCTTCCTTTCCC